ATTACTACATAAAATATTAATCTTAGGATTCTCTGAAAATCTACTCTCGCTCCTCCAGTCATATCTTTCGGACAGAACACTATCTGTAGAATATGGTGGTTACAAGTCTAATAATTACATAGCAACTTCAGAAGTTCCCCAGGGGTCTTACTTGGGACCTTTATTATTTTTAATATTTATTAATGATTTGTCGCTTGAGATTAAATGTCATCTTCGGGGCCCCTGTATCATTTATCTTTTGCTGATGATTTAAAAGCTTATAATAATATCGTAACTTCCGAAGACTTTCATTTTCTTCAAAATAACTTGGAAATTATGAATTCATGGCATGCCAAAAAGCCTTCTCACACTAAATGTGTCAAAATGTAAAGTAGTAACATATTGCAGAAAACGAAATTTTATGCTTTATGATGACTAAAGTATTAATCTGGTAAGGGTAGAAAGGAGTAACAGTTGTAAGGACCTAGGTGTTACATTTGATGTCAAGTTCACTTTTAACGATCATATAAATAGCATTACATCGTCTACTTTCCTAATGCTAGGGTACTGTGTTAGAAACTGGTCAGGTTTCTGGAACGTTGAAACACTCAAGCTTCTGTATCTAGAATACGTCAGAAGCAAGCATGAATATGCATGGCTTATATGGGCACCTATTTATCAAAACTCTATTAGCAGATTGGAATCTATTCAACGAAGAGCAGTAAGGTTTATGTTCTTCAAATTCAATGGTTTCTATCTACAAAGAGTCTTCGACCATAATGTATTGCTCAAAACTTTTGATATCAAACCGCTTGAAGTACGCCTAAATATTTCCGCTCTGTCTTTTTTGTTCAATTTACTCCACAATAAGGTTTACTGTCCATATATTTTAAGTAAGATATGTTTTAATGTTCCTCGGTTAGGTAACCGTTATTGTGCTACATTTTACTATGATTTCTGCCATACCAATGTCTTATCCAAGTGTCCCATGTATAGGATGTGTACAATATTCAAAAGTATCAGTAACTGCGACATATTTAATGTCACTAAATCTAGCGTTATCGAACTTTACCTAGAAGAACTTCTAAGGTAGGATATTATGGTCGATTATTGCTTACCTATGTACTATTATTCTTATCTATCTGTTTACTGTGCTTAGTTAATATTTAGTTATATTTCCTGTAATTGGGTGTATCGGCCTGTTGGAAATGAACATTATTATTATTATTACAAGTACGCGTATGCTCTTATCTTCAATTGGATGTGGAAACTGTTGGACTGGTTGGTAAGTAAAGTGTGTCTTGAGGAATGAGAGGTATTGGACCTATACGAATGAAAGATTTGACTCCTGAGCACAGCTAACAGTTAATAGTGCTCATTTCAACACGTGACCTTATACACCACCACAAAAATACCTATGGCCTTAACTTTAATTGCACTTTATGGACAACATAGGAATGACTAGTCGGTAAATTGTCTTGTAGAACAATAAGTATTAGATTTATATAAATGAGAGGTTGGTAATTTTAGCAGTCAACAGTGCCCGTTTTTTTACTTGTGGTTACGCTCACGCTTACTGGCGAGGGAGAATTTTAATAGCGAAAAATTTGGAAAATGAGATTTCATATTTTTTGAATGCTGTATGATATTTACACGATGAAGAACCATGTCACTCATTTCCGTCGGTCTGTTTGACCGCTAATCCTTGACCCATCTATAACTTAGAAAGTACCGCTCAGGATGGAATTTTTACACAAGGTTACTAATATGCCAAGGACGAAAAAGCTGTGTAGCTTTTGAAAATCTGTCAAGTGTCAGCGCAGAAAAATGCCATAAACGAAAAAGCAAATACGACCAAACTTTCCAGACGGTCCCTATCATTTCCGAAAAACTTTTAGGGGTAACAAGTAGGAGCTGGGAGATTTTAGCGGGTGGAGGAGGGAGTATCGCAATGCTTTGATGATAGAATATTAATGGACTTCTGATCTCGGTAATTCTAAGCACCTAATAGACATATTTCAAACATAACAGATTTTCGCTCACATTTGCCTTTGAAACAGAATTGTAGATATCTTTATCGGCCGGTGACCGATCTTCAAGAGTGTCCTTGTACTACTGACGCATCCTGGTATTGGACTCATACAAATGAGAATTTCGCCTTACTTGGCAACATTAGCAGTTAACGGTGTCAATTTTTACAGAAAAAGCGATCAGTCCAGTGCAAGTACATATACAAATGAGGGATTCTCCGTTCTGGCAATTTTAACCGTTGACTTTGTTAATTCTCACAAATGTGACCAAACACTTCACTGCGATTACGCGTAGGCCCTAATCGAACTTAGATTCGTTCTTATACTTTCTAGCACAGATTTGCTGAAAAAAATGCAAAAAAATAAATTCACACAAGAATCACCTGGAACAACAGACATGAGTTCGAAGCTACTCTGAGTGGAACTTACATGACATTGAGCACTTTACTCCCACCATGTAAATAGTAATCGAGTGGATTGAAGTGTCGTTAGATGTATTACTTTTTGTAGAACCGGCATATCCATTTAGCACAGTGGAGATTTTATTTCCAACATGCAAAGCAGTTGTTATACATAGCAATCCAAACATTGCGAGGAGCTAAAAATATCCATTAAAACACGGACCTTTACTTTCGTAATTGAAGAGCTATTTGCGTTCGTTGAGCTAGAATGCGTTTAACTACCCGTTGCGATTTTCTGATCGATAACTGTGCAAACACTTCAGTGTACTATATAAAACAGCAAATAAACATCAGTCATTTTACTTTCCACCTCAATTGACGAGAAGGTGTTGCAATCGTGAAAATTTTCGAGTTGTTTGGACATGACATGCTCGAAAAAGCATTTCTCTAGCTGTTTGTCTGTCTGCCTGACCCCTCTATGGCTCGGAAACTACCACCCTTATGTGAATGAAGTTTTGACACAAAGTTACTACTATGCCTAGGACGAATAAGCTTGTTAGGTTTTAAAAATCGATAAAGGGGCAAGAAACTAAAATAATAAGAATCGATCAGGTTGAACAGGACCGCTTTCATCTTTGAGTAAGGTATTACGTAAGTCTACTGTCATTCCCATAAGACATATTCAAATCAGTAAAGTCGTTCTTGAAATGAGATTGCCTTGAGTGGGAGAAAAGGTATGCAATCCAGCCCTTAAATCAGGCTTTACATTTTGTTTCAGTCGTATTCAAAATACATCACCACACCATAATATCTAATCTACTATGTAATACATTAGTATCTCAAGTAAACAATACAAAAGTAAATTACATACCTAGTACGAGATGTGAACCATTATTGTGCGAAACCAATAATGACCATCTCAAACGAGGTATGTATGGAATCCAACACTATACATACAACATGACAAAATATTTCATTTTATATCACAATCATGACGTTTCTGGTCATTCCAAAATATTTTAAAGTACCTAGTTACGTGGTGTCAAACTGACAAATATTAATGAATACTAGTGATAATAACAATAAAAATAATAATAGTAATAATAGTAAGAATAACAATAATTTCATTTCCCAACAGAAAGTCAATTTACAGAGCAAACAATACAAAAATCTACCAGATATAATTAACCTCTATCGTAATTCTGAATATTTTATAACTAACTCAACGAAAAGAAGCAAAAGGAAAAGTTATTCTAAGTATTCGTGGAGAACGCATTTCAAATTAATCAATGTACTATTGACTGTATCACATACAATACTAAAATTACTACGCAAAACTCGAGCAGAGAACGTCAAAGGTGAGTTTTTTTGAGCACGCTTACAAAACAGTACTGCTCTGAGATGTGCAACAGAGAGCCGATTTGGGTAAGGAACAAAAGTTTTCCTTCTGTTAACATTGAAAGCCGCTTTCTGACATTATGTCGTTTTGTGGGGATTCAAGAAGGATAACTACTCTACTCAATATTATTAATTACTTCTCAACATGTTTTAAATATTTTGAAAGAAATTTAAATTGTCAAACTGACTTGATGACATTGACAGGATACAATTGTAATTATATGCCTAGGTGTCTTCTGTTTCCATTATTTAGGGAGAGGAATGCTACTATTCAATACAGGATTGCGTTCAATAATTGTGATTTTTATTATTAGTAGTGAAAAATAGTATATTACATACTTTTGTACCCTGAGGCATTAAAAGCTTTGTCAATCCACGGATGTGAATTTAAGACATTTAATTTGCATCACTTTGAAATTCAACACATCTGAGAACTTTCTGAATGTCTGGCAATACTGTCCAAATGAAGCATACGAAATATCTGGATGACAGGACGATGCGTGAGAGAGAGAGACACTGCTGCCATATGATGATGAGTTTGACAAAGATGGAAGATGCTGCGTACGTTGACACATCGCTCGTTTCCCACTCATTTTCAAATGTATCCAGTAACTTGCGACCTTGGAGCTGTGAAAATAATGAGAAATAAACACAACCAACAATTTATTATAGTTCCAGTTATAAACTGAACTTTGTATTGATTAGAGATATCAAAAACGGATAAATTATCTAATGCTCGTAACAGTGAAAACTATGTGCCCACCAAGCCAAAAAACCACTAAATAAATGCACACATTGTTGCGCTTCTTCTAGGGGGGCAGGTATTACAATTTATAAGAGGGTCTGTTCCATTACACAAATGTTCTCTCACAATGTCGTGAATTATATCGTGGGGTTAGAAGATCCTTCGCAGAGTGGGGATTTATTAAGAGATCGCCAATCCCTGAGACTGCCCACAATTTAATTTAATGATTAATAATGAAAATCAGAAGGTTGTAATCACAAAAACCGTACTGTAGGAGGCTAGAATACTTATAGCAATAGATACAATACATTTTCATTGTGTCAAACAATCAATGTATCATCACGTACTAACTAACAAGGAAGAAGAAGAGTATATCATTGACTTACCAAAAGGTTCCAGGGGTATACATACTTCAGGATCGTACCTGTAAAGTTAGTTTTTTTGTAGGAAGTGAAGTGAAAGAGAAATGTTTGGGGTACAGTGAAGATAATAACATCGTCCAATGAAGAAGCCGTAAGGGAGCCTTCGAACAATAAAGGGTGTAGTGGATACGAAGTTAGGCTGAATGAAAAGAAAGAGAAAGGCCTGAAACAAAATTCAGTGTGGTACCGTGTTTCATGATAATGTGAGTCTGGGGCTGAGCCTGGTGGTGGCCGAAAAGGAGATTTCTCCCGATTCCTCCGATCGCTTTACTTTCTTGGTATTCTATTGACTTGGTCACATTACATCCGATTTCGACCGACAAGTACGGTCAAGTTTTTTGGACATCGGACGAAATCAAAATATTTCTTTTTTCGGAAGCTTCGGTGCATTTTGACGCGAATGATTTCATAAAAATGGTTGACTGTAAAATTTTAATTAGTCCAGTTTTTGAATAAAAAGAGGTTGTGGGATATAATAGACAAAGTCTACCACAATAGAGACATAACACGTAAACTGTGGAATCAAATTATACAGGGTGTTTCAGTTTATTGTTCTATAACTTTAAGATTCGATAGAACTTTTAAAATTAACGCATAAAGTCTATATAAATATGGGTCGAAAAATACGTGGCTTCCGAAATACAGGGTGTTTAAATTTACTTTTTAAAATAGCTTTTTTTAAATATTTCGAACAATATTTGATGTATGGCAGTGACAATTGGTATACAAGAGTTTTTTGGTACGACAAAACGAACCATGGGCATAGTTTTACTGTAGCCGCTAGAGGGCGCTCTCTACTGTACCTGTAGTGTGTTAAAATGACCGAAAAAAAATTCTTAGTGCAATTTTTTGCTTTTTGAATAAAAAAAAATGATTCTTCGCACTTTTCAACATAAAAAAGCTCTTTTGTGAATTTTCGATATAGTTAGCCGTTTTCGCGATATTTCGATTTTTAAGGTTCGATGCATTTTTAATTATTTATGATAAAATAACGTTAAAAAGTCAGTATCTCGATACTTTTTAGAATGCACGAAATTTAGTTTCTTTTACCTGTTTCTTTTGTAAGTTTTATAAAAATTCCATTTTTATTCTCCAATCAAGAGTTAGCGGATATTCATTTTGTGTATGGCTTTGTAAATGGAAACGCAGCAGAAGCAGCCAGAGAATACGCACGGAGTTCTATCCTTGGTGCAAATTTTTGCTTTTTAAATAAAAAAACTAATTCTTCGCACTTTTATGCATAAAAAAGCTCTCTTGTGAGTTTTCGTTAATGTTAGCCGTTTTTGAGATATTTCGATTTTTAAGGTTCGATGCATTTTTAATTATTTATGGGAAAATAATATTTTTTTTACATTCTCGATTTGGGCATTACAGGTAATTAAGATGATCGTTTAGATTGGGTTTTTAAACACAGCAATAATTCCTAACTCCAAGTAAACACAAAAAGGCAGAATATTAATTTGTTTAATTTTTCAATATTATTTTTAACAAATTAAATTAATTATTTACAACTAAAATGCTATTGGATAGTTAGGACAAACATACAAAATCTAAAGTAGTTGCTCGAAACGTAAACCCAATTGTTCAATACACAATTCACATCTACGAATGATCGAACGTGGTATAGCATTATTCAAATAAGGCCTTATTTCATCACATGCAGTCCCGATTCTGTCTATTAGCATATCTCTTGTGGTTACGGGAGTCTGGTACACTTTTTCTTTTAGAAATCCCCACACAAAGAAATGTAATGGATTTAGGTCATGGGATCGTGGAGGCCAGGTGACTGGTGCTCCACGGCCGATCCATCTTTCTGGATAATTTTCGTCCAGCCAGTTTCTAACTATTCTCGAATAATGAGCTGGACAACCATCAAGCTGGAACCAGGCCAATCTTCTTAAATCTAACATAACATCATCCCACATATTTGCATGTTCAGCCTTTAAAAATTCCAAGAAGGTCGCAGCATTTAACCTTGCAGGCAAAAGGTAGGGTCCAAATAGTCGATTACGGTAGATACCAATCCACACGGTCACACTAAATTCATGCTGAAAATTTCTTTCCCGAACTGCATGTGGATTTTCATGCGACCAAATATGTTGATTATGAAAATTTACCACTCCACGTCTAGTGAAGCATGACTCATCGGTCTATAAAACGTTACTTAAAAACTCCCTATTATTATCAGTTCTATCAAGAATCCACTGACAAAATGTGATTCTTCGTTCTCCGTCCCCTGGCTGTAGTCCTTGCACAGGTTGCGAATGGTAAGGACGTCTATGGTCATTTCTAAGAACACGGTGAACATGACTTGCTGAAATTCCCAAGGCACCAGAAACTCTCCTAACACCTGTGGTCGGATCTCTATCAAACTCACGCAGAATCATACGGGTAAATCTGCGCTGAGGAACATTTATGTTTTGATCCCTTTGGAGATTTCCAAAACCATTTTCAATTATTTGGCGATGCACTCTTACAAATACTGAGCGAGTTGGATGTCGTCAGTTTGGAAATCTTCGTGCGTATTCTCTGGCTGCTTCTGCTGCGTTTTCATTTACAAAGCCATACACAAAATAAATATCCGCTAACTCTTGATTGGAGAATAAAAATGGCATTTTTATAAAACTTACAAAAAATAAACAGGTAAAACAGGTAAAATTTCGTGCATTCACAATTGCAAAAAAACGTTTCAGGTTTCAATAGAGAACAAAAATTGTCAACTAATTTACGTTTAACCTTATTCTGCTTTCAATTTCAAAAATATTTGCAGGCACAGCCTACTTCTACCTGTGTGTCGCGTATTTCATATGCTGCTCTTGTAGCACGGTTAGAGCGTTATACTCATACAATTTTGCTGGTTGCTCCAGTAATTGCGGAAAGAGGGTATACATATTCTCCAAATCTAGTCCTGGAGCGAAAAATATAATTTTTGAGATATTTTTTATTTTTTTTACAGCAGATAAAAGCGTCTGTAAGTTCATTTTGCTACAAACGCAAAATAAAAGCTAACTATCGAGTAGGGAGAACTATGGCAGAACCTCATAAATGTTTCCCCCAAAACGGAGCCACACAGACCATCTTCTTCGGCCGAAACATTCGACCGTAGACGACAGACAAATCATCCGGCCGAAAACGGTGCCACTCTGATCGCAGCCTTACAGCCAAGAAGTTTTTCTTAAATATCGGCCAAGGAACCCAAATCTTCCGGACATCAAGTTGGATGGAATAGCACTAGACTTTTGGATTATGAAACGGACGAATGTTAAACTGAAACAACACTGAGGTTAGGTACGAACGAAAAGAAACATTATTTCACATATGGTGGGGCCTAAGGGAAATTAATTGGAAAATACTTCGGTAGCTGTAGACGAAAATTTCATGGAAATTAAGGTTATTGAACTTACAATATTTTGTCTACTTTTTATAGTCTTCGCAGGGTCACTGCAGTTACTACAAGATTTTCGCACGAAGTTCAGGACTCATTCTACGGACCACGGTGGAACCTTGGACTGAAGAAAATGAACCTAGCTTTGGTAACCACAGCCAATAAATCTTAAATTCTGATGAAAGAGTCTAATTACTGTAAGCCCGTAACAATATTCATTATTTACCTAGCGACTTTTTCATTGCCATTATTTACCTATGTTCGATTTCTCAGGCTGGTAGTGAAAAAAGCTTCTAAAGTCCATTCCGTCCAATTCGAACTCAAACTTACACACCACAGTTCTATCAGCTACAATATTTTCCAAGCGGAAACAAATTTCTCCGCGGTGAAAAATCAATCTGCGGCGGTGAACGTGGTTTAATTTACCTTTACCGCGGAATTTCATGTGACAGCAAGAATATTGTGGCGTATATGGTCCCTGGGAGATTAAAATTCCTCGTGAGAGGGTTGATGGCAAAAGTGGATTGAGTGTTGATATTTCAGGCCGTTTAGCGGAAGTCCTCAACTCAGGTCAGGTTACATTTTTAACATTTCGGTCACTGGTTTCTGCTTGTCAGTTTGTGTACCTGCAATAATATTTTTGAATCGGTTGGAACTGGAGTACCATCTTTGGATGTCTCTTAGGACCGATTTTACATCTGAACTGGAGTAGTAGAAATCACATATCTTTTTATTCACGTCACAAAAAGCCACGATTGGTGGTCGACTTACGTAAAATGGCAAGTCATATAAATTTAATGTGCTAGAAAATGAAGAACATATATTAGCATGTCTCACCAACTATAAATATGTCTACATGGTTTCGCAAGTTTACGGCATGTCGTAAATAATATCGTATCGTCATTTTGACGTTCCACTATGAGGTTAGGATACCACAGGATGTTTCCCATTTGACATGACAGTTCATATTGTCAAAGCCTATCTTCTGTAATGTGTTCCGTAGTATTTCAATATCGACTTATCTCCGACTTACCTCAATACGTAATTTTTCCGTCACTCTCAACTTACATGCTATGCAGACAGAATGAGAAAGATGACGAATGCTGAGAATTCCTACAATATGCCAATTTTGAAGATGTATGGCATCACTGGTGATTTGAAGCCTATGACGTGCATTAAAAGTTATGTGACTCGAACTTGTAGGTAATTTATAGAAGTGTCTATTTCTATTCTCAATTAAACATTTAAGACTGCAATGCCAGTGACGTCAAAGCTCTCGACATGCCATTAGCTTGTCCTTTTGGTTTGTTTGCCAGTTTTAAAATTGGTCACGATTAGGGTATCCATTTTTTCAGGAAAGTGTAATAGTCCTGTAGACAATGCCTACACCTCTCTCAGAACCGATTTTACACCTAAACTGAATTGATAGCAGGCATATTTCATTTATGGAAATGTTTGTATTTACTTTTAATTGTATATTTTATACTGCGATGCCAATGACGTTGATTTAAATGCCTCATCTTTGGTGCGCTTCGCAGTGACGTCATAACTCTGGACATCTATCTCATTTGCTTCTTTTTGGTTAATTTGCTGTCGAGTTTCCAAATATTCTATTTTGGTCTTGCTCATTTTCAAAATTTCTGCCATCGGTATCTGTTTGTGAGCTTGTGTGCCTGCAACCTTATCCTCGTATCGTCAT